GGGTTTTGTGGGTTATGCCTAGATCTGCGAGAAGATTGATGGATGCTTGGAGGGTGATTCGGGGGAAGACCAATTGAGACACTTAAGATGTCTTTTGATTTGTTTTCAAGCGGTCTCTGGTATGAAGATTTAACATTGGAAAGAGTGAGTTAGTCCCAATTGGGGTGGTTGAGGAGATCCATAGATATGCTGATATCCAGGGGTGTGGGGTTGCCTCTTTACCGATTTCTTATTTGGGACTGCCTTTGGAAGCATCATCAAGGAGGAATTCCATTTTGGGACCCAGTGGTTTTGCGCTTTGACTGGAGGCTCGCTAGTTGGGAGATACAATACCTGTCGAAGGGGGGTGTTTAACTCTTATAAAGAGTACCCTTTCGAATCTTCCAACACATTCCATGTCCCTTTTTCGGATGCCTATCTCAATCGTCATGAGACTTGAGAAGACTCAGAGGGACTTTTTATGGGGTGGTATGGGAAATGAGTTTAAATACCACTTGGTGAACTGGGAGGAGGTGTGCACCCCTATCCAAACAGGGATGTTGGGGATCAGAAGATTGGAGTTTTTCAATAAGGGTTTGCTAGAGAAATGGATTTGGAGATTTGGGTGTGAGAGGTCACGATTTTGGAGGAGAGTTATGGCTTGTTAGAGTGGGGAGGGAGTTGGGGGTGGTTTTCGATGGAGGTGAGGTATCCTTCAGGGGTAGGGCTTGGAAACTTATCCAGAAGGGATGGGCTGAGTTTTCCAAATATTACACATTAGTCCTACTAATTTGAAGTTCCAATTCTATATAACCTTTCTACAATCAGATTAATTACATACAATTAGATAAGCATCAAAATTATGTATGACATAAAAAAGCAAATTGAAAAGGCCTTTTGTAACTCATTATTCGATGCTTTCAAGTAAAGATTTCCCCATGTTCTGTGTAAGTAAGGGCTCTCAAAGAATTCAGTGAAGACATTACGCCCCATACCTATTAAACCAGTAAAGAAAATGTGCATACTAAGGAGGATCATCGAGTGCCCCATTTGGCTGCTAAGAAAGATAGCTGGAAGTTTCCATTTACTAATTAACGAGAATTATTTCTATCACAAATATCTCAAAACACAGTTACCCATCAATCTAACTGTACAAAATCCAATGAATCTAATTACATATTCCACGGGAACAAAATCAACAGTGGTATGGATCAGTTCGTCCCTCAGTTCCTTTTCCTCAAATTTTTTTTTCTCATAAACCAAACAGTTCGTAAGCTGTTTGCATGAAATATGAATTTGAATTGCACCACTCTCTCACGTGCCAGAAAAATTATTATTCACGAACTACAACAATCATAAATCTGAAGGCTGTGCATCTACCATCCCAACATTACATAATACAAGCAATCGAGAAATTAAGGTGTAGCAGAAAGTGACTTAAACTTGGAAGATATTAGTCGATTGGGTTGCCAATATTCTTTCTAAAGAAAATTCTGGAAAATTGTTATTAACAAATATCACCGTGCATTTGAATGAACGCGAGAATGGAAAGTGAGGAACAGAGCATAAGAAGAACCAAAAAAAACCTACTATATATATATATTTATATATATATATATATATATAAAACATTTATATAGATATGCATATGCATCATGATCATCAACAACAGCAATAACAAAAAATTTAACACTATCGAATCAGAAGATTATATGTACCTTCCTCTGTCAATGCCCTCTTTCTTTGTTGCCAACCTAGTTGCTTGGGTTAGAGCCTCCTACACGGATCGCATTGGACCTGATTTTCAACTCAAATTAAATACAGAAGAAGAACCAATTTTCATGAGTGAAAAGGGGTGGTACGACGGACCCGATTTATTTAGAAGGAAGACATACAGGTACTACAAAAGTCCGGTTCTGTGGTTCCCACTATCCAAAGTTCCAAACAGTCCCAATTTTTTGTTTTTGTGTTTTTTTTTTCCCTCCTTTCTATAATTCTTTAACACACAAAACTTGTGAATTTTTGACACGTGCTTAAGAACAATCCTTAAATCCTTTTATCCTCCCTGCTGACGGCCTACTCTCATGCTGACACCTGTCCAAAATAATAATAATAATAAAACATGGGCAATGCCCATTTAACCGGGTTAAACCCGTTTCTCGTAATCACTCTCTTCTCTCAATAATACAACTTAATTAAAATTCAGTTCTTCAATTCGCTGCAACTGACCCATTCTAATCTTCCCATCTCTCTCTCCATCTTAATCTTTAATTTGTTTGCGTTTCAAAGAGAGATCTAAAAGTTTTAATCCCACAACACACAGAATTGGAACTCAATCCTTCAATTCAAAAACCCTAGATCTGACTCTCTCTCTCTCTCTCTCTAAAAATGTCCGGAAGAGGCAAGAGTGAAAAGAGCTTGGGCAAGGGAGGTGCCAATACTAAATAATTTCAGTACTATATAATAATTTCTTGATACAACGTATATATGAAAATGAACACAAAAAAAAATCAACCAAGTATCTTGTAGATATAAGAGAAAAGACCATTGGAGTTGAGTTGGAGAATTGTATATTTAAGTTGCAACAAATGATATTTGTAGTCTTGTCTTGATTCTTGGTTTCAAGTGTCCCTCTGGTGGTTAATTGTTAGAGGGCGGAGAGACGGTGCAAGGCTCGAACACTGATTTCTTAATACGAAGAGCAACCTAACGACTCAAACAACCAGCACTTGCGTGCTAATAATTCATTTACATTTCACTTCTAAAAATAATATCTTTTTTATTTTTTAGAAAAAATAATGTTGATTGCGAATATAAAAAAGTAAAGTGTGGATCTTTTCAATAAAATCTGTTCATAGAATATGACTAATAAATTTTGAATTTTGAGAAGTGCTGATAACTGTGGCACTTGCAGCCACTCTAGTGTGAATTATTTAAAAATCAATCACAGCAAGTACTGTTTCAACTAATCACAATAAATACAGTATTTTATAAAATTTTATGTTTGCTAATTGAATTTTTATTTTTTTTATTTAATTTTTTTTTATCCTCAATTGAAGACATAACTCGTTTATATTTTCAATTTATTCACCTGCAGAGATACAAATCCTTGTACAGAATCCTTATGAACCAATTATTTAGCTCAAGGGTGTCTCCAATTAGTAGACCCTCCCCATTGCCATTTACCAACATCTCCCTAGCTTTCTTCAACAATTATTTCCATGTCAATAAATTATAACTTTCACCATAAAAATAATAATAATAATATTAATTAACAATAGTCTAGACTTCTCATCCTGTATATTCTCATTCGTATACTGAAGGTAAACGTGTTAGACTTCTCATCCCGTACACTCTCCTCATACTTAATAATTTTAAATATATAAACAAATTCCAGAGAATGACAAATAAGTCATACTTTTCACTTTTATAGAATCAATGAATAAATCTTTTCTTTTTTTTTAACCTGGCAATAAAAAAGTATACGATATTTACAAAGCTCAACACAACCAAACAACACAACACACGAAAGCATAGGACATTCCTAGATCAACACGCATAGAAAGCCTATAAAACCATGAGGTCAGAAGATAGTACATAGGGACTACCCACAACAATGACAAGAAAGAGGGTTTGACAAAAATCAAAACCCATATCCACAAAGTCCATAGTCACCAGATAAACCATTGCCTATGTACCTCCTAAGTAATTTGGTGAAGGCGATATAAGACACCCCATAAGGTCCACTGCATCAATATAGATACCCAAAATAACGTACCAACCACGCTGATGGAACAGAACCATCATGACTGTTGATTTTTAAGACTCATTCTGACATATCATTAGATGACGTGGGTTTCGGGAAGGACCCAAAGTCGCCAACCACCGAGGAGGAGGAAGAATCAAGTTCGCCGACAAATTCCTAAACTTTAAAACCTTCACAAAAGATAAACAACTTCAACCCTAGCAACCAAAACACCGCTGATAGTTCGATGCTCCACCGGACCATTATATTCCTGGACACACATCCACATACCAAAATTGGCGCCGTCTAGCACTACCATGGATGCAAGTGATGAACAGTTACGGTGATAAGACATGTCCATGGCTGAAACAGATGGACTGGAGCTGCTACAAAAGGAAAAAAGCAAACCAGCACCAGGATCAAAAGGATAGTTGGTGTGGCCCTCCCCCAAAAGATTACCAACACTCCAAAAGCCATTAAGGAGCACCATGACCACGAACGTTGCCAGCCAGCTATAGTTCATAGCGCGGGGCGAATACACACCGTAATCACGAAGATCATGAGTAAAGGGAAGCTATCCTAAAGAACAACTAACCACCGCCAGAATACTTCGGACTCTGATCAACAGAGAACCTTAATAGAGAGAGGAACCCCTACAGAGAGTGGAAAGAACAAACCTGATCTATATTACGTAGTATTATTTATATTACTAAAACAGAACTCGGACCAAATTGGAGCATGAAAAATACAGAAACTGATCTCAAGGGCTAACAGCAGTGGCTCTCGCAGTTGGGTCCGAAGATGCCCACAAGTTTAATTCGATGCACACGGAACCAATCTATAAGTCTACCATAGTTTTATTCATAGGAGCATAGGACTTATGATCCAATAAAGTGAAAAATAAGACTTCTTTGTAATTCTCCTAAAAATAAAATGAAAAATGATATTCAAAAAAAAAAAAAAAAAAAAAAAAAGAGGGAGAGAGAGGGTTCTCAAACCAGAAGAACGGATATCAAAAGGCCATGCATCCCTCAAATTCTCTGATGATAACAAGAAGAAATAATAAAGGCAGTCAACTAACAATACATGAAATGTTGTGTATAAAAATTTTGCCAATACAATGAAACAATGCTACAAATTAGTACATCAATTACCCTTTGCATGTCTAACTATTTTAAAAGCCCCAGCCATTAGCACCCGACTTTCCAACTTCAAAACATCATGACCAAGCTCACCACCATGTATTACAATTACAAAAAATTAAAAATCAACTAGGAAAAAAAAAAAAAAATTAAAAATGAACCCTCCTCAAAAAACCACCACTAAAAGAAGAAAAGAAAATGGTACAAGCTAGAAATGATGTGATAACAGCGTGCATATAAATTTCAATGCAGCCAGTTTCGTGTGGGTATTTTCAGAAGTTTCCATGGCACAGTAAGTGTTCTGTAACTCCCTGCAGAGTCTCCGGACTGACTGTCCATTTGTTGGGAAAAACCCGATCAAGCACTTACAACACCAGAGACCCAAGGAACAACCAATGGTGCTTTCGGGTGGGAATTTCTGTAAGAGTCCGAATATGTCCCCTTGTAATTCACTTTGGGATTTTCCGCCTGCATTTAGCAAAAGATGAAAAACAAGAATATCAGACTGGTCTGAGATTCAGGTAAGGTTAGTTTGGCATAAAATTTAACAAATAGACATAATGAACCCCACAGCACAACTTAATGAGAATGTACGCCAAAGCTTACATATTTCAGCCAGCACTCCCCATTTTTGTGTTCATAAATATCCGGGGAATGACATCCTGTCTCAGATGGGCAATAAACCCATATATTGCATTTCTTTTCATCTGGTTTGCCATGTCTAGCCTGATCCAAGCAAGCCTGGCAACATTCATATGCACTTTCTTTATGGTGGGTCAGGCCCCATCTGACAGCAGCACCACCATAATCTGTATGAAGTTCGGTATGACATTCTGGAGGAAGTTTCCTGCCAGGTAAAATCTCTTCATCTGGAGAGAACATACATATCTTAGTAATATATAAGAGAGTCCAAGAAACAAATACTCCTAAAATTTGTCCTTTAAAATGTGGGGAAAAAATGAGGGAAAGAATAACTAAACAAGGAACACTTGAAAATTTTAATTATGTAGACAAAAATCATCAAAACTGGGATCAGATTTTACTTAAAAAAAATACATATATATATATATATAGAGAGAGAGAGAGAGAGAGAAGGAAAGAGGTTTAGAGTGAAATGAAATACTGGCTCGTTACCAAACTCTTCCACACCCTCCGGTTTGTCATCGTGTTCCTTGTGAATGATATCAACTGGTAACCAAAGACCAATTTCTTCTGACAGCTGAGCCCAATTAGACTTCAAAGCTTTTGCTAGCATCCCTACAAAAACACATTCCTTTGCAATTCTAAGAAACAATAATTCATTCAAACAAAAATGTCACAAAAAGCCACTCACAGACAAACTGTTGATTTATCTCCCATGAATAAAATAATCTTTAGGAGAAAATTTTACCGGCTTCCTCTGTCAGAATTGTTGAATTCAAAATTTTTCCACGCGTAAATTGAATAGCTTCTTCAAGTTTTTCTTTGCGCCAGCTTTCGACTGCTTCTGCTCATCAAAAACAGTATCACCAGCAAAACTGGTAACGTAAGGGCCACAAAAATAGAAGAATTTATGTTATAGACACTACAAAAATGTGAGATAGATACTTACATTAGATATATCATTATAACTGCTTATTCACATTATCATGCAACTGATATCTGCTTTGTTGAAACATATTAATTACACCCCTCTCTAACAGCTTAAGCCTGAGTAGTTAGTAATTATCATGGCAATAGAGCAGGAAAGCCCATGGTCCAATCTAGGTGCCTTCCTAACACATAATTTGTGAGAGGACTTGCACACGTGAAGGCGGGTATTGAATATATTATTACACCCTTCTCTAAAAGCTCAAACTTTTAAAGAACTTCGTGGTTATCATCTATGTTAAATGGGCTCTAGAATGCCAGCTATTTAGACATTACTTAGGAAGATTCTCTGGCCAACATGAGAGTATATGTCTACACAACGTTTTAGTTTCAGATCATAAATTCTAGACTGGCAGCCTTTTTTTTTTTTTTGGGCAGGGGTTGAAGGTGGGGAGTTGAAGTACAAACTATTAGAACTCATGAACGAGGGTGTAAAGGGGTGAACTAAACTCTACAAATATACAAAAAGCAAAGCCAAAAGGAAGAAATCAAAATTCAAGAGGAACCCCAGGATCAACCACCAAGAGAAAATCACCAAGCTGACATAAAAAGCCAGTACAAGTAATTAGCAACAAAATTAAGATTTTGCTCCAACGTATCAAGTGCTTATTAGTATCTACAGATTGTGCGCTAAATTTACAAGTTGATTCAGAAATTAAGAAATACTTTAGAAATCAACAATATACATTTGCACTACTTGGTTAATTGCAGATTGACTAGTTCCAGGAGCCAAACCCAAATCCAATAAGTATTTTAAAATGAATCTGTTTCCTACTACTCCACATATGTGCACATAACACATATTCGTAATGCACTTTAAAAAACATTTCCAATTTACTGATTTACAACACACACACACAGACTTCATCACATTATAAATATAAAGTGTATCAAAAAGCCTCTGGCAAAAGCAATGATACTTTTTTTTTTTGGGGATGGAACCATATTCATGAACAAGATTCCAAAACATCCAGAGAATGAGAATCAATATTGCAGAGTCAGAGATGCAAAAAGTGGAAAGATCTAGACTCCTGTAACCCCAAGGACATCAATGAGAACAAAGGATGCCAATGAATCTTTGAAGAATCATTGAACCAAAACTGAAAAAAATTAAAGCTACCATTTGATTCTCGTAAAAAAGAATGTTTGTCCATCAGTGAAGAACCATAATGTAACAATTAAGATAGCTAATGCATCATTGACCGATGAGGATGAAGTGATTGATTGAAGACCGTCAATTAATCAAATCCTAGGAAGCACGGACACGTCTAAAAGGGCAAATAATCCGTGTCGGACACCAACCCACGCCCCGACACGTGTCGGACATGCCAAAAAATGTGTCCGGATATTTTATATTTTTTCGAATATCCGGACACGTCGTGGACACACTTCCGACATGCCATGGATACATGTCCAACACACATGTCCCATTCTTGGGGATTGTTAAGAAAGTTTTTTAAACAATGTTGAGTTGAAGTGTAAATATTAGGAGCTGTTTAATAAATTTCAGTATTAGGATTGTAATTACATAATTACTTAAAAACTTGTTTCATAAAACATTTTTATATTCAAACAAATAGATATTTATTCTTATATTTTAGTTCAAAGGTTCGAACTCTTGCACGATCATCTCTGACTCTCTTGTTGTCCCACCAACCAAGCTTCGCTACCGGTTAATGGTCTCTCTATCTCTTTCTCCTCTTTCTACGCTTTTCTCTCTTATTCTTCGTCCTCTTTTCTTTCTTCTTCTTGTTCTTCACAAAACCTAAATACTTCTTTTTTTTCCTTTCACAATAAATTTCTTTTTGTCTCTTTTTCCTTTTTCCTTTATTCCCCATGAACATTTTTCTCTTCTATGGATTTTTACCTTTATTTTTAACCAAGGCCTAATTTTTTTTTCCTTTGTTTTTTGTTTTTTTTCCCTCTTTCTTAACCCTATTTCTACCATTCTTTCTTTTTCCAGCAAAAAACAAAAAAAAAATTCTTCATTATGAGACTATAAAAAATAATATAACTCTTAATTTCTTAAAGTACAACATCATATATATAGAAAATATATTTCTTATTTGCTGTGTCCGTGTCCTAATTTTTTAGGATTTGCCGTGTCGCCGTATCCGTGTAGTGTCGTATCTATGTCCCGTATCCGTTTCCGTGCTTCTTAGATCAAATCAATTGTAGTTTCAATGGCTAGGGCACACAACAAATTCCAATATAGAACAATGTCAATCATGTCGCCCCATCATGCAGCCACATTGTTTTAAAACAACAATATTCCATGGGAAACAGATACAATAGGCTTGCTTACATAGAAAACTGAGTCTCACCTCCTTCAATTTGTCTACAGAGATCCCATTCTTTTGATAATGTGAAGACAATATAGGACTTTCTCATCATCCAAATGACTCAGAAAGGACTTCAAGAATTCTTTGGCCGTGATGTAAGGTGTAAACTAAATTTCTTGTATGTACGAACATATTCAGGATTTCACAAAATTCATGTTATCCTTTAGATGCAAATTGCATTTTTGTCAAAGTTCCTTTTTCTTACCAACCCCTTCCTTGATCCATAGGCTCCAACACCCAAAGGAAGCCAACAAGCTACAAGGAGGGTCAATTTAGATGTCACATGACTAAAAACATGTCAATTCCCCAATAAAACCTAGGATTTTCCAATACTCCTTGTATATTAAAAGGGATTTGAGATTATCTAGCAACCTTTAGTCTAATTCAATTACATATTGCAATAAGTCAAGGTTAGAGATGCATGAAGGACTGCCCCCTTTGTCTTTGGTGGGCCCTAAAGAGAGAGAGGAATAGGAGATCATTTGATGGGGCAGAATCTCCTTGTGGTGCATTTAGATTTTCTATTCTTAGTTCTCTATTCTTTTGGGTTCAGGGCTCTAATTGTAAATCGATGGAGATTCTCTTGGATTTGTAAATATCTTGAGGCTATAGGTTTTTGTGCAGTTTGTCTAGGCCGCCTTTTGGGCGTTTTTCAATGAATACTTATCAAAAAAAAAAAAAAAAATTCAAGGTTCAAGTTACAATATAATTTGGCAGGTTTAAAAAATTCATCTGAAATCCAACCCACCATTCTTTTTATATAAAATTTCTTATAAGTAGTAATTATTGGTGAAGAAACAAAATTCAAAACTGATTTGGTTTTTTTCTATCATATTGCACTCTAGAGAATTTATTTATCAAAAATATATATATTGCACTCTAGAGATTTCTTAAATACTAAAAAATCATTAGGAAAAAAAAGTGGGAAACGCGTTGGGTTGAAGTGGCTACACGAGCTCTAAGTCATGTATAATAGGTTCATCAAAACTTGCTAACAATTGAAGTTGATTGTCATTTATAAATTTTACTTGTCAAAAAAAAAAAAAAAAAATCCAGTCATATCCAACCAACGCGAACTCCAAACTTTGACTCAATGCTATTACAGGAACAAAAATAACTTTGAATATACATAAATACAACACATACTAGAAACCTACAAAGGCGAGAGGAACAATATATTAACAAATCATGACTGACTTCTGAAATCTCAGAAGAAACAGAAAAACTTATTGAGCTGTCTGGACATTGATAAAATGATACATAAACACATACTGGGTTTGCCCTTTATTGAATTGATAACATGATATATAAACATGCAGGAGTCCTTTAAATTTCATGGAATGGCTAACCTCACTCTAACATTTAATCTCGCCCATGACCCATCCATTTGAAGAATGACCCGTCTGTGAATTTATTGTTCATTTGTTCTTCTCCTTGAAGACACATATGTGTGTAAATACATTTGTATGCGTGATCTACAATTTATCTCTTCTTCATTTTTCTAAAAAAAAAAACTTAATGCATACAAATATACATTTATGTTTTAACCAACATCTCTCTTTCTCTCTCTCTCTCTGTGGAAACATTGTTTGCTCCTCACTCAATATATATATATATATTGGTAAGTCACTCAATATATATATATATATATACACACACACACACAACACACGCACGCATATAGACGTTAGCAGCAACACCACAATCGTTTTCTTTTCTCCTCGCTAACCCAACTCCCCACACACCATTCCAGATCCCACAATGCATAATTTAAGTCAATGAAGAGAGGGAGATATCATGTCATTCTAATTTCCATCATTCCAACCTCCCCTCAGCTGCATTGGATGCTGCAAGACAGGTGCATTAGTCTCAACACACTCTGTGGAATCAAACTTCTATACAAATCGCTTCCTAAACTGGCATGGAAATATCCTCCACATCTATTTGCTTGTAACACTTGCAAAAACAAAAGACCACCACAAAGCTTCCAAACTGAAAAGTCCAGACTGGCTAAGGGACAGAAAATCAAGTCAACCAAATGGTCCAACAGTTATTTCCAACGAACCATAATGCCAGAACATAATTTGCATACTTCTTCTTCACTTCCCACCATAGAGTTCAAAATCAAGAAAGTGTGAATGACATAAATAGAGAGATTAGAGATTAGGGAGAGAGCAAGCAATTAGAGAGAGAAAATGGTTGAAATGAGGACTAACTACAATGGAACAATTAGTAAAACAGAGGGAAAGTAGAGAGAGAGAGAGGAGTTCCAGAGCGTTCCTTTTTAATGTGGATTTAGTTCAGCACAAGGCATAATTGAACACATCAGACCAGAAGATGATGGCTCTCAGGTGGCATTTCAAAATTCAACATACCAAAGGTTATTGTTGCAAGCAAATCAGTGAAGATCAGAGAAGAGTAGTCACAGAAGATTGCTTTTAATACTTCTCGTAGAATAAGAATCCTTGAAGAAAAATATTAGATTTTGACAAGAATTTGCACTTCTTTTTTTTTT